TGAACCTTTACAAACTGTATATGGACAAGGTTCATGGCCTAACACGTCATTACAAAATCATTGTGTCATCAAATAAGATCTTTATTTACTTTAAAAGGGGAATTATACTGAACAATTTAGCAATATTATGACGCAATTTTCAATACACAATGCAAATTTAAAACATTTTTTCGTATAATTTGTGCCCAGTAGTATTATGGTGTTATATATACTTTTATCTATTTTTTGTTTTTAATTCCTGTTAGACAAAAGGTAGTGGACTGATTAGCGGAAATATTTTAAGAATTAGTATTATCTCTTTAAATAATTTTTATATCCCCTGGCTGAATAAGGATTAGCCGCTTATTTCCGAGTATGCCTATTTCTACTAGTATGGCTGGTTAATCCCTGTGAAAGACGTCTTCTCAGGCACATTTGTTTATAACGCAAATATGGTTTACAATAGGGCTGGTCGATTTTAGAACCGTGGTATTGCCCTTGGCACAAGCATATTATTACTAAATCATTGTGCCATCAAATAAGGTCTTTATTGACTTTAAAAGGAAATTATACTAAACAATTTGGCTATATTATGATGTAATATATCATACAGTGAAATAGTTGTAGCATGATTTCCAATAAACAATGTAAATTTTAAACATTTTGTTTTATTAAAATGGGCGCTAATCAGGTATTTTAGAAAAAAAAACTCTTTCGCGTCAATTTAAATTATTTTTAGATTAGTTTTTGAAATACAGCAAAATATTTTGCTTATTGGAAATATTAAATTTAATCTGTTAGCTTGAAACTAAACTAAAAATATTGTAAAACAAAAATTTCCTTTTTTAAAATTCATCTTCAATCTTAGGTATCGTTTTTTTTTCTTTTTTTTTCTTTTTTTTTTTTGAGGTACCTAGTTTATTTGTAACTAGGCTAACATGAACTGAACTTTAAACCTAACAAAATGACTATCCATTGATTACCTTTATAAAATTAAGGTAACAATCTGTAAGTAAATCCTTTAAGTATGATCCCGGTAAATTTGCAGAATAACCCACAGAAACCAATCGTAATGAAAATTTCCATTCTGGTGTGAAATTGACTGATTAATTCCAAAATGTCAATACAAGTTTATGGAAGAAAATCGTTTAGAAGTTATCGACGATATAAGTTCGGCCTTATTCGCGTCTTGACCGGCCACCATTACTGGCGTTGTTTACATACGTTTGCCTCGAGTAATAATGCGCGGAAGCTTCCTTAGTTAACGGCCTTTTTACTGATCTTCTTAGCTTCTTAATCGTCTTGAAAATTCGGCCATTGCGCAGTAATCAAAACAAGTAAAGCTTCCAAGCATTGCTAGCGAATGCAAACGAATGTAAACAAAGCCAGTAACCGTGACGCGAATGAGGCCGAAATTATATTGTTGATAACTCCTAAAACAGTTTTCTTCCTCAAATTTTTATTGTTATTTTCGAAATAAGCAGGCAAATTTACACCAGAATGAAAATTGTCATTGCAATTGGTTTCCGGGGATTAATCTGCAATTTTACTTATTATTTTACCACAGTAATTAATATTTAGCTTATTAATTTCTAATTTGATATATTCAAGCTGGCCGCATTGGTTTAATGTCCTTAAATTCCAAGTCCCTATTTCTAATCTGGTGTAAATTTGCATCCTTATTTCGAAACTAACAATAAAAAAATTGAGGAAGAAAAGTGTTTAGGAGTTATCGACAATATAATTTCGACCTGATTCGCGTCACGGCTACTGCTTGGCCGCCATTACTGGCTTTGTTTACATATGTTTACCTCAAGAAGTAATGCGCGGAAGCTTGTCTTCATTACTTCGCAATGCACGAACTTTAAATGCGCGCAGTAATCAAGACGAGAAGATCAGTGAAAAGGCCGTTAACTAAGTTTCCACGCATTACAACTCGAGGCAAACGTATGTAAACAAAGCCAGTAATGGCGGTCGGGTTAGACGCGAATAAGGCCGAATTTATATTGTCGATAGAAAAAAAACGGTTTTCTTATGTGAACTTTTATTGTTATTTTCGAAATAAGCAGGCAAATTTAAACCAAAATGGAAATTTTCATTGCAATTGATTTCTGGGGTTTAATCTGCAATTTTTTCTCGTTTTTTTTTTTTTTTTTTTTTTTTTGTCTCCGATTTCAGCTGATTTGTAATCCTTTTTTTCTTTTGACATTAAATTTTGTTCGTTTGTTAAATTGGGATGGATTTTTTTTTCTTTTGGATATTTTTTTTTTTTTAACGTTGGCTAGTTTCTTTCCGTGTGATGGTGTTAGGCCCACTCAGGAAGGCCGGGTCACTAATCCTTTAGCAGATTGCAAATATTATATAAAAGAAACAAACTTAAAACGATACAGTTTAAATCTGATAGAAGTGAACAGACTGACCTTGATAGTTAAATAGACATTAACAGATAGATAGATAGATAGATAGATAGAAAGAAAGAAAGAAAGAAAGAAATGAATAAAGTTGGATAGATAGTAATTATTTCCGGGAAAGCTGTGGAATTAAAACTGAATGGCTTCCGTAAAATTTTTCCTCACAACATTTCCATTAATGATTGTTTTTTAAGCATTTGACCCCAAGAAAGACGGCAAGCCACTAGCACGCAAGGGGTTATAGAGATTTGGAGCGAGGGCAAAGAGGAGTGATATAGGAAAGGATAAAGAGAAAGATAGGGGATAGATCAAGGGTATCTGGAAACGTCGATTGACATTATATTTGAATAGTTAGGAATTATAGCTATCAGGGAAACAGGAAAAGGAGAGGGAGTTCCACAGGTGAGAGGTGCGAGACATAAAACTATTGGAGTAGAAGAGACGGCTATTGTTTCGACAGTGAAATGGTGTGAGCGAGATGCCAGCCTAGTAGAACGCTTAAATTCATGATGTCTGGGAACCAGCGAAAGCAGCTCATCGAAGCAGTTACCATGAAAGTATTTGTAAAAAAGATAGAGGGAGGCGACGGCACCTCTGTGAGACAGCGACTGCAGACGAGATGCCAGATCAGGGCCAATTATATTGTATACCCGTCTTTGGGTTTTATCAAGGCCAAACAGTAGGGGCTCCAGACCATATATGGCAGCAGTACTGCATGCAAGGGCGAATGGTTGATTTGTAGATTTGAAGGATTGACTCCAGCGATAAAAATTTCCTGGCGCGTCACAGGGAGCCAACTTTCCTTGCGGTGGACGAAGCTATTGACTAAATGTATTTGTTCCATCTCAGGTCAGCAGTCACTGTGAGACCGAGCAGTCGGAAAAAGGTGCTCTCGTGGAGTTGAGCGTCATACATTCTAATCGGGGGGGGGACAGGGATGGTTCTCTGTGATGAGTAATAGTTAGATCCAGTGACAGGACCCAAAGAATGTGAGTTCAATACCTGGTTAAGGCGGTGGAAATCATGGAGAGGGGAATTAACAGGAGATAACTGATAACTGACATCCATTAGGCATGGCACGTGGAACTAGAACAGACTACCCCAGTGAGCGAAATAAAGGGTTCAGTTCGACATTCCAACCACCTGAAGAAGGCCGTAGCGTACAACGGCTGAAATGTTGTGATAAACATGGCGACAAAGATGAGGACAATAATTCGAATAATATAAATAGTGTACATAATACCTCATCTCAGAAATATAGCCAGAGATGAGGCTATATAGTTTTGCTTCTTTAAAAACAAATTATCTATAAAAGGCAGGATGTGTGTGTGTGTGTGTGTGTGTGTGTGTGTGTGTGTGTGTGTGTGTGTGTGTAACGAATGCACGACCGCAATTTTCGACGGATTTGCACCAAAATGTATATGCACATGCTCCAAGTTAGCGGGAAGGCCAAGACCGTCTTTGCATTTCCCAACCACCATCGATAGTGGAAATAATCGATTTTTTCATGCTTCTACGGCACTTTTCATGTAGTTTGCTGCCATTTTCTACTGGCCAGAGTGAGAGCCTATAGCTGACTGCCACGAATAGGCAGGAAGATTCTATTGGCTAGCGTGAGAGCCAACAGCTGACTGACACGAATGTTAACTAGCATGCAAAAAAAAAATCGATAACTGCATTCGTCACAAGTGGGAAAAATTTAAATCTGCATGGCACTTTACTCCAATTGGCTCATTCGCTTGCTTAAACTCAACGTTGATTCTGATTCCGCAGAACTGGGTTGGATGTGAAAAAGTATTTGTTGTTAACATTCTTATTTCATTCGGTTTTTCCAGTTACGAGTCCTTTTTTAAAGCTGATCGTTTTGTGTTCATTTTGTTTAGTTCTTTTTTCGTAACAGATTTAATGTTTAGTATAGAGCTTAGAAAAAATTCGCAGTGTGAGATAGGCAAGAAGTAAGGCATGTAGCAACATCAGCACGGCAAAGGGCACTCCTTTAAAGGCAAGGAAGGGCAAAAATATTTTAAGTCAAGTGATAGCGATTGCTGTATGAGTCGTACGATTTTTGAATCAAGCACAGGCAACGCCGGGCCATGCTGCTAGTAACTATCTAAAACTTATTTTATGTTATTTTCAATTTTACGTCATTTAGACGACAATTTATCCATCGCACCCTGTATCTTTCGGCCGGAAATAAACGATGTTTTATTTGTTTATTTGTTTCAAGAACAGAACTGGTGATCGGTTAGACACTTGAATAAGATTTTGTGAAAAAAAAAAACAAAGACAAAAACAACAAAAACAAAATCTCTTTCGTTGTGGTGTAAAGAAGAAAATAATTTCCTTTCCCTTGAAGCACGAGACGTGGGCGCACATGGCCGGCACCTAAGTAGATGTGTAAGTCGAGAACAAGAAAGTAACTTTACCGAATTCCTGAGGTCTAGGACCAGCTGCTAGTAATTACAAGAAAGCAGTGGACGAGTTAGTTTTAAATAAACGCGGAGAAATTGAACTCCTAAGAAATAAGGCGGGAAATTAAATAGCGATTTCACTTTATGGGAGAAGTCAACATAAATTATTTATCGATATTCTTTAAGGCTGTGAGCGAAAATGATACAAAAATGCAAAGAAAAACCTCAGATAACTCACAGCCAACTGACCCTGTATTGAAGAGATCCGATTCACACGGCTTGATAAAAAACATTCAAAACAGATACCAGTACAATGGCGCGTACGAAAACATCAAAATAATTTGAGCTTTTCTCTTTTGGCTGGTTTTGCTCAGCATTTGGTTAAAAAGGTATAAATTTATACAACATAGCATGTGTGATCATAGAAACTAATAAAGTTCAAATTTCAGGTGTTCCTATCCCTGAAGCAACGATATGCCAGGTAAGGATAGATTACATTTAGTTCAGTTATGTGCCATGCGTGATACACGCTTAGGCGATCATGTATCTTTCGATACATGACTGACGAGGCAGATTTTTTCCCATTTGTTTCCGCGGTAGGCCAGTTGCCAGCCAGCGCTATAGAACTAGGTCTGTCCTGCTATTTACCCATAGCTGAGGGGAGAAGAAGAGGATTCATATCTTTCCCAAGGGTATCAACACGGAAGTGAATGTAATGGATTCGACTGGAATTCGAACTCGGCTCTTCGAATTTTGTCAAGAATGTCGAGTTGTACAGCAGGGGCAACAGATCAGATATGGCGGCAATATTCAATGGACCAAGGAATGGTAGATTTATTAAAGTGAAAGATGGGGTCTGTATTTTTAATCATGTCACCCCAGGCAAGGCAATAAAGACACTAACTTTCATTCTTTGTTCATTCCATCTTTTTCTTTCTTTCTTTCTTTCTTTCTTTCTTTCTTTCTTCTATATAATAAATGCGAATGTCAGTGTGTCACTGTCACGGTTTTTCAACTAAAAGGGACATAACTCTCTAATTTTCAATAACTCATGTTCATATGAAAAAAATACTTTTCTGAAATTATAATGTTTCAAAATAAAATTGTCCGTCTTTTCAACTTTACTCCTAGAGGCCATAGCCCAACATGTCATACCATTTTCGAATCAAGCCAACTCTGTAAGCAAATTAAAAAAATTCCGTGTCGGACCCGGACTCGCAATCCTGAAATTTTGGATTCCCAAATTTTCGTGATGGCAATTGTTTTCGGTTATTTTAGATTTTTTTTTTTTTGTGGCGATTTTTACGTGTTTTTTTGTGGTGATTTTTTATAACTTGGAGATAAATTTGGGAATAATCGAAATTAATTGCGAAATCCAGTGAAAGTCACCTATGAAATAAAAATATTTGTTTGTACGGAAAGTAAGGACCTACGTACATCAAACTGTCTTTAAATTAATTGGCGACAGAAGAATTATCGCTGAACTTTTAAAAGGTAAGCTTAAATATTAATGTAGTACTTAAATGCAGGGATAAATTTTGAGTTCTGCAGTTTATTGTTGCCTATCGTATCTATTCCTCCCTACCTATTGTGACGAAGACCCAGTCAAGTATCCTCCACAGGAGCTAACTTAAATGTCACCCGATAGGTCAGCTTTTAAGCTAGTTTTTTAATAAGTGAATTTTTCGACAAACTTATTTTTTTGTTTTTCTTTTTAAATGTTTGTTATTAAAAATGGACCATTTTAGTGATAGATGAAGTCGTTAATATTGGCCTTAGACTATGTTCTAATACTCATTTCATATGCTCTCAAAACTTCTCTGTAATTTGTGAAATTTCAAAATTTTCTTCGGGGCTTGCAACACCCATGACCCCAGCTTGTATGGGCTCGTTGAATTTGTCATAATCAATTGATAGCCTATATCCTCGGATCTCTTGTCACTGGTTGAGAAGGAACACACATATCTGTTCAAGCTCAAGGGCCCCAAACATGTCGACGCGCCACTGTGTGTGATAATTTCATTAGCCAGTATTTTTGTCACAGAGACGTTGAAATCATTATGTTTGTCAGTAGAAGAAAAGCAGTTCATATGAAAATATTAATTCTATTTTATATTAATTGGAATACCGATTGGAGAGCAGGCGAACATGGCTCTCCACAATTTCGCGTCCCTACATTCTCTAAATCAATTCTGTCTTTTCGTTATATCTAAACACTGCTTCTCCATCCATTTTCTCAAGTTCGTCAGGTATGATATGCGATGTTTTCCTTTATCTCTCTTGCCCCCAATCCATCCCGTGGGTAACATATTTTCTAAACCCGCTTTCCTCAGTGTGTGCCCTAGAAATTTCAACTGCCTTTTTCCTTTTTTTTTTTTTTTTAACCATATTCTCTAAAACCTCATCGTTGCTCATATTTAATCCATGATATTCTCATCTTTCTGTAGAACATTTCTGTTGCTTCAAATCTCTTCTTCATCTTTGGGGAAATTGTCCAGCATTCACTTCTATACAGCAGGCCAGATATCATGTAAGAGATCAGTACACTTTTGGGGGTTTCTAACGGAGATTTTTTTCTATATCTTGATACTCTGCTTAGCTTTTGGAATGCTTCTTTGGCTAGCCCAGATTGTCTACGGATTTTAGTGTCACATTTTTCGTCCTCTGTTAGAACATTTCCCAGAAAAGACAATAAAACAATAAAGAAGGGAGAAAATTACGATAGAAGTTGTATTTAAATTTTTGAACAGCGTAGTTGACAGGAAAGCCAGAAGCCGTAAGAGACTTCCATAAGCGAGAAGGGCGAGAGAAGAAACTATTAGAAGTGAACCTACGGCTCATCTGGCTGTCCCAGGATTAAAATAAAAAAGATCTAGTTACCTATCGAGTAGCTCGCTTAAATTCATGAAGTCAAAGACCAAGGGGAAGAGAATGAAAATGTTTATAGAAAAGATCGAAGGAAGATAAAGTTGCGGTGGTGAGAGAGTGACGGAAGCCGAGATGTCAGGTCAAGGTCGATAACATAAATGTTTCTTCTTTGAATTTTGTCAGGAATATAGGGATATATAGCAGTGGTACCAAACCAGCTGTGGTGGTAATATTCAATGCATTATGAAACGGCAGGTTTATAAACTTGCAAGATCGATACTGGTGAATTAAAATGAATTCCATCAAAAGCTAAAATCAAATTGCTTTTTCTCAATCTCACTAGCGGACTGACTGACTATCTATCTATCTATCTATCTATCTATCTATCTATCTATCTATCTATCTCAGTCTTAATCTATCTATCTATCTATCTATCTATCTATCTATCTCAGCCTGTTATCTGTTGGTATCTATCTCAATATGTTTCTATCTATCTATCTATCTCAGCCTGTTATCTGTTGCTATCTATCTCAATATATCTATCTATCTCAATTCGTCCTTATCTATCAAATCCTGTACCCTATTGTTGTGGATTCCGGATTGAAATCCAGTATCAATAAATAACAAACGCCAAGAATGAATATAGGAAAATAATGTATTAACGTAATAATACAAACTGGTAATGCAGGTTAGTAGTTCCAGGAATACGGGTTAGTAGCCAAATATCTATACAGTCTTTGGTATTGAAGTATCGCTGTATGACTTCTTACTGAGTCTACGTGCTCATTCACTGTGACTCTTGATGGCTACGTTCGTTCTGTCTGTCTGTTACCTTCAACCTTTCACTCTCCCTCTTCGGTCTGTGTCTCTCGGGTCTTCACGTAGCAGTAGTATATGTATATACTGGGTGAGTCCATTTGTGTAAAAAGGGGAGGACCCCTCAACATCTATCTATCTATCTATCTATCTATCTATCTATCTATCTATCTATCTATCTATCTCAATTCGTCCTTATCTATCTAGTTATGTACACTATCTCTCTCTCTCTCTCTATCTTTCTCTCTATCTACTTCTCTGTCTCAGCCTGTTCTTATCTGTTGGTATCTATCTATCTATCTATCATTGTTTTTTTGTTTTTTTGGCCATTTCACCCCAAGCAAGGCAATAAATCCACTAAGACGCAGGCGCTCATTGAGTGTTAGAGAAGACAATAAAAGAACAACAATTAATGAGACAAAAGATAGCGATTGACATTGTCTTTAAATTTTTGAAGATCGACGTTAACAGGGAAGCAAGAAACCTCTAGAAATTTCCACAAGTAGATAGTGCGATAAAAGAAAATTGCAGATTCTTTGGATTTTATGAAGAATCCCTATATGTATAGCAGAAGTACCAAACCCGATGTGACAGCAATATCCAAAGCATGGACGAATTTTATTGTTATAAATATATAAGATAGATTCTAATAAGAAAAATTATGAAGCAAGTTTCCTAGCTGCAGACTTAACAATTGATTAAAATTAACAAAGCACTCCTTGCCCCATTTTATATCAGATTGTAGGTCAGTTTTGGGGATAAAATCGCACCAGGATGACCATTTTTGAAAAGTTAGAACAGCATAAGTCCAAGAATAGTGTCCCGGCGAACACTAGCATTAATGTAAAAAGATCTAGAAGAGTGGCCATTCAAGACAACTTTCATTTCGCGATTTAATAAGAAAGACTGAATTAGTTCAAAAACTTCTTCAGAAATAACCATAACATTTCCAGTTTTGAAGAAGTCCTGTATGCCGAACAATGTCAAATGCCTTCGAGATATGTCCAAATCAACAGCCCAAGCTTCACCATTCTTATCTAAAGCTTGATAGACTCTTTCGGCGATAAACGTTAATACATCAGTAATTGACCTAGAGAAGCGAAAGCCATATTGATTATTTGAAAGAAGTGGCTGCGAGATGAAATGCTTAATCAAATTCATAGTTGAATAGAGCCTCTATTACTTTGTTAAAAAGAGGTAGAAGGCTAATAGGCCTGATAGAAGGTCCAGGTGGCTCACTTGATTTCTTAAAAACTGTAACTACAGAAGAAGATTTCCAACAAGCAGGAAAGCAAGAACTAGCAAAACATTTATAGTAGAGTTTAGAGAAAACAGGAGCCAGTTCAAGAAAATATTTCTTAAGGACTATTGCAGGGATGACATCAAATCCGGAGGCTTTGTGAGGATCCAGATTAGAGAAGATAGTAGAAACCATGGACAGAGCTATATGCATATGACTGAACTCAGTTCTAGGTGGGAAGACAGGCAAAGATACTCAAGATGCGTCAAAATTAGAATTGGAAGAGAATTTACGAGCAAAACATTCTTCTTTATCAGAGGGTGTCAGCACCTCAAATTCAGTGAAGAAAGGAGGAATAATCTCTTATTCAACATACTATTAACAGTAGTCACGTGAATCAAACTTAGAGGTTATATATATATTATATATATATATATATATATATAAATATAAATAATATATATATATAAACAAATGATATATGCAACTGTATATGCGTGCGATAGTGTGCATATGCAGATAAGCAATTAAGCGTTTGTTTGATTTAATTTGTGATGCAAAGAAAACATTGTTCAATGTAGTTAAACAGAGCTATGAAGTATATATTAATCGTTTGAGCCCTGCGTTCTTGAACAATTTTAACGCATCTGCCTGTGCTTCTGAGTCAAAATTCGCAAATAATTGGTATTTAATGTTTCACGGTAGATATAAAAATAGTTCCAAAAATATAATCATTATATTTAGAAGGGAGAGAGTATGATTCATGCCTTCAATTTATCGCCAGAATTCTTTCTTTGTGTCCCAGTCTACCCAAATAACCAATAGCAAAACACGACGCAAATGTTTACCCACCGTTCAACTGGTGACTGGGTATTAAGTCATTATTCTCTACCGCCGGTAAAGCTGCGGTCAGGCCTCTATGTTTATATATAGTTGAGGTCCATCTGGAACAAATTCACGCCTTCAGCACTTTCCTCTCTGATTTTCTTTCACCTCCAACCAAGCCAAATTGCGATATGGAATGGATGACTGGAAGCTTCTAAGTCATCAATGCCATCATCATAAAATAAGCGATCAGCAAAGAAGAAATTAAATTCCTGGAAACGAAATAAAGCCGACAATGATATATATATATATATATATATATATATATATATATATATATATATATATATATTATAATTAAATAATAAAAAATATTAAAAACTTAAAATCTTCAGACACACTGGGTTGTATATGAGTATTCCTTCGTTTTATTATTATTTCATTTTGATTCCTCGAATAGTTTCGTCCAACATGGCCATCATCAGGAGAAAAATAATTTTCTGCTTGCTGGTAGCAGTGAACTACAGTAATATATATATATATATATATATATATATATATATATATATATATATATATATATATGTGTGTGTGTGTGTGTGTGTGTGTGTGTGTGTGTGTGTGTGTGTGTGTATGACTGCGTTGCAAATTTAATTATTAATTAATTTTAGTCCCAATAACAAAAATTTCCAAAAGAATGTTACAGTTGTTCTGTTTTTATGAAGCCGATAAAAATTTTATTTTCAACAAAGCGGCCATTTTGTTAGAATCACCTCTCCGCTGTGTATCTATAAAATAAACAATGATATTAAAACGTCGAAAACCTTTCTAAAAGGCACTATTTTTAAATAGTGTGCACTTTACTTACAAAACTGCTTATAAAGAAATATGGTAATCGACGTTTTATTCTGAATAGCGATTGAAACAATGGAGAATACGGACATGATTTACACTCACTTATTCCCACCAAATGAAAACATGTAAGAAAGTCGGAAAAATTAAATAAAAAAATGAATAAAATTTTCCTTGTCTGTCATATTCAACGAATAATATTTAAAAGAAAGACTGCTGCTATATATATATATATATATATATATATATATATATATATATATATATATATAATAGCAGGCCCTTTTATTCGAGGATACCCGTCTATTGGGGCGGCTTGCCAATCCTTATTGCAAACGCTTGTTCAGGCTTTTTTATTTGTGTTTGTTCAACACCCATAGAGCCAACCTCTGTTTTATACTGCAACTAATATATATATATATATATATACCCAAGTATCTACATTCATCATCATCATTGATAAAACACCAGAGGTGTTGAAACAAAATGGCTATTTTTGTTGTGATTTTATAATATATTTATCTTATAATTTATATATATATATATATATATATATATATATATATATATATATATATATATATATATATATAAAGACAAAATGTAGTCGATCTGATGAAATGAATACACTTATATTCGTAAAATTAATTTTATTACTGACTGGATATTTAATTTTTTTTCCTTAATTATTCCCTAATTTGCTCCGTATCATACATTGAGCTCTCATATAGACTAAAAGTTCTCTATGCCAATTACAATTTGGTATTATTCATATATATATATATATATATATATATATATATATATATATATATGTGTGTTTGTGTGTGTGTGTGTGTGTGTGTAGTAATGTGGCAATTTTCGAATTCTATAGTTGTAAGTGTTTTTTTTCCGTTAACGTGAAATGGACTAATTAGTCCAATCATTAGAGCAATGTCCCAGCACATTTCCAGAATATTCTATTAATTAGTGCAGTTTAGTTAATATTGTAAAGGAGTAGTCATACAAAGAATAAATAAGTAAAGTTAATGTAATTAATGGCGAAATCACTTCGCTAACCGATTAAATAAGGCATTAACTCGCTAACCACTGAACGACGGATTCTTGTTTTTAAAAACTGTAAAATGGATTAGATGTTCAGTCCATATTGCAAGAATTTTCGATACAACTTGAATCATCCTCGGGCAAAGATGTTTTTTTTTAGTGTGTTATTAACAGTAATGTGGCAATGCACGAATTCTATCGTTGTAAGTGTTTTTTTCCGTTAACGTAACATGGACTAATTAGTCCAATCATTAATAGACTCTCCCGTCGGTTTCGACGTATGAGGATCTGACAACTTAACCAATTGATTCAGTTATGAAATTTTGTGCGATAATCTTAAGTGGCATTTAAGACCCACTGATGATTTACAAAGGAAACCACATATGGAGCAAGAGTGAGGATTGTGAGATGAGATCACTGTTAGATTGGCTGACCTTTTAGTTCTTGCTCTCGCTTCTTGAAAATGATTCAGACAAGCAGATTGAAAACTGCTGAGTCCACTAAAACATGTTGATCTCCATTCTATCCGCTCCAAGGCTAAGCGCTCAGGGGTGTTATGTGGTATATTGACTGCTGACAAGTTGCTTTTCAGCTTGTCTTTGTATCTTAGCCATGGGCGTCCTACATTCCTGTAGCCCTGATCTAACTGGCTGTACATTAGGATCTTGGGTATCCTGTCATCAGATATTCTCAAGACATGACCAGTCCACCGTAACTGAGACTGTATGATAAAAGTCTCGATTCCTCCAATATTACACCTGTTAAACAGGTCTACGTTAGATATCCTATCTTGAAGCTTAACTTCACAGATTGCACGCAGACAGCTTTTATGGGAAACATATCGAGTATGGATTCCACGACTCTGAGCCGTACAAAAGGATGGCAAGTACAACAGCTCTGTAAACCCGAATTTTCGTATCCAGTCGAATAACCCGCTCATTCCACAAGCGATGGCGAAGTTTGTCGAAAGCACTGGTAGCCTTAGCAATCCGATGCATGATTTCCTCATCTAAAGTTCCACTCATTATATATATATATATATATATATATGTGTGTGTGTGTGTGTGTGTGTGTGTGTGTGTGTGTGTGAGTGAGTGTGTGTGTACACACAATTCATGGATATACATTTACCTTTTCAGCCCCTCCTCATATATTACTTGTACATTTAATTATATGTCAATTAAAAAACATTTTCCGAATATTGTAATTCGTTTTTCTGTCAGTGTAGAAGACATGCGAAGATAAAAAATAAAATAAATAAATCCGTCGTCCACTTAAATATGATTTATTTTAATCGATTTTTTCATCCATTAATATATACCACTTTATATCTATTCATTTTGATTTTATCTTTCATTCATTTTTTTTATAAATTCAGTTCGTTTTCTTTCTTCCCTTTACTTTAAAAAAAAAATGCTTCTTTTATTTAAATCCTTCATTGTAGCCTTTCTTCTTTACTTCAATTAAATAATCTCTTAAATTTTGATCAGATTTTTCTCCTTTTCCTCGTCCATTTTTTCTTCAGATTCATTGTTCATCTTTATTTTCACTATTTTGTTTGGGATTTCCGTTTTTCTCTCTCGTTTTTCAAATCCTTGTTCTTTTTTTCGATGAACCAGTCCATCTAAAAAGTCGACCTTATCACTTTTTTCTTTTTGTTATTACGTCAATGCCATTTAAAAGCGTGGAAAAATCTGCTCATCGAACCAAATGTCTCTCCGAATTATATAACGTGGGTCGGATGTCATCTTTCGTTCATTGTCGAAGTTGAAATCTACAAAGGTTTTATGCATTGTGTACAAACGCCATGTAGTATCTGAGGCCATGATAAGCACAAATCGCGCCACTAAGAATCGGATTGAGAATCACGTGACAAAGATGGCGGACATTTTACATGACTTTCCTTTGTATTTTTCCCCTTTTATGTTTGCTTGTTTTTTTTTTGTCTCTTTTGTATTGCGCACAGTCTTTGTCATTTGTTTCTATGTCAGGTAAGTGTATCGATTTTATTTGAAAAGACTCGTTTTCTTCAGATATTAAACAGAAGTAAACCTTATTATTGATAAATTCAGTGGGAGCAAAGGAAGGCAGTTGGCTTACTGCAGAGCTAAACAAATGAACGTATGTCTTTCCAGCCTTTATTTTTCTTTAAAGACAATAGCCCCTCAGGACAGAGTCGGTCATAGCACTTCAAGGGATCCGTTTTCTTTTATTATCCATGAATTACCATGATTTCTTAGGAAAGTTAATGGAGCGGTCTTTCATTATCTATTCTAGTTTAGAATTCAGATCTGTTATTCGCCTAGGCTGGCTCCCACCCAAGGCTAGAGTAGCCAATTCGTCCTGTTATTTATCCCAGATCTTGGTAACTAAATTTGTTTTTAAATGATATTCATGACATCCCTTCATGACATTACTCTCTACAACTTCTTTTTCTTTATTACACCTGACCTGTTTTCGGGGTGTGATTTCTTTGAGTAGATAGATGATTATTTTCCCGTCTGAAAATAAATTGCATGAACACCGACGGTTTATTTTCTTTAGCTTTCTATAACGTTTCAAATAAATTGCGAATTCAGTCATAAAAAAAATATTCTCATTTTAACTTGATGAATTCTTCAAGATTTTTTTTTTTTTGTATCTTGAACTTTTTTGAAATGCAAACAGAACATGGAGTATTTCGTGGAGAGAAAAGAAATGCTTTTTTTTTTTACACTGATGTTTTCTACGTACAAGGCTCAAGAGCCCCTCATGGTAGAGAATCACAGAGTAAGATCCGAAGTCGAGAAGATAACGGTTAACCCATCACTTGAACAGGTTAAGATTGTAATGATCGGAAATGCATCGAGTTCTCGGTTCCATAGAGCAGCAGTTCTTCGGAAGATGCTTCTCGAATGGAACTTACATCTCACCCAATGAACACGAAGGTGGTTCGCTAAAATATGTATGATATGGCGCGTTTTAGTCGTGAAGGTTAGAAATGGTGGAACTAAGGTTTTAAACTGGCTTCCTGTGTAGGCCAGACTGTCCAGTCGACGTAACAATACCTGGTGATGAGGAGAAGAGTTTGCTTCCTGCATTTTCTGGGGGATGCGTGCGAAAATGAACGTGTTAGACAAGGGCGGAGTTTGAACTAGGTTCGCTGACTTCGTTTTTCGCGTCTTTAACCGCTGCACTACCCGCTTCATCCATGCTTCAGGCCTTTAATATAAAGAAGTGTATTCATCTGTAGCTGTGTGTATGCTGTCTTTTTATGTCAGAATTCTGTAGCTACCATGTAACACAGTACTACATGTCGCATGATCGTGTCATCAGCGATTAAACCGCTTCCCCTATCAGGCTTTTCTGGTGATAAGTGCAGCTAGACACCTAGCAGGATTAAAGGCGGATGGATTCTCTTGTAGGATCCAAGGCCGTTTAACACACGTATGCAGACAGTGCAATGATAACACTGCATCGCTGAACTGATGGCTTCCTTGAATAAAGTCAAAGTTCCGAGCGGAGGGGTTCCATGGCTAAGGGGAATCTTCAAGCTGGAGGACATTGGCTGTGGTTTAAACCGGGGAGGGATGGAATCCACCAGGTCTGCTAGACGAAGAAATGTGCATGAATAAATGAATGCTTTTGTGATGTCAACGAACACTCGGTTGCCACTTTTGTAATGTCAACGGATACTCGTTGTCGCTTTCGTAATGCTCATTGTAGTAGAGACTATAGTACGCCATTGAACAATACTGGTATCAGACGCCTTCGAATAGCACTTGCACTAATAGTACTTGCCCGATAATACTCGCTCGAATACTAACAACCGAATAGTGATCTGAATAGAGAAATAGTATAGTGAATAGAGTAGAGAATAGTGGTCCGTATAGTAATAGAGGATAGAATAGAAATAGCGATCAATTAGACGGCAAGCTAATTCCTACTTTAATTCCAGAGTTTGAAAACTTTTTTTTAAAAATGCCATCTCCCTTTTTATGGAGGGTGTCTCAGAATTAACTATTTCAGTGAAATTGAGCACATTTGAAAAAGAACTGACACAATTTGATTTTAATTATAGTACAAAACAAGGATATTTATAAATCTTATCACAAAACAATTAAAAATTAAAATTAAAAAAATTTCAACATGTGCCCATTCGGTATCCCTGCAAATTTTAAATCTATCGTTAGCGTTGCTAAACACATTTTGAAACATTTTAGGTGTTCGCTCCTGCACTGCTGACTGGATGCGTTTTTTTTAAGCCCAACTATCGACGGAGAGTGTGAAGAAGGGACTAAGTATAAACTACAAGAATGCATGGTCATCAGTAAAAGCATGAAATGCGATTAGCAGGTCGGGAACATTAGAATCAAGCAGACGCGGAAGTTTAAATACCTGGGAAGCGTCTTGACAGAGGACGGTAAGTGCGACACTGAGATCCGTAAACGTATTGGTATGGCCAAGGACGCATTTCAAAAGCTGGACAGAGTATTGCGAGACAGGAGGATTTCTTTGGTAACAAAGAAAAGAAAACTGAGCTGTTACGTGACATCTGTCCTTCTGTACGGCAGCGAATGACGAAGAGACTCGAGGCGACGGAGATGTGGTTCTACAGAAGGATGCTAAGGATATCATGGACCGAGCGTGTGAGCAACGATGAGGTCTTAGAGAGGATGCAAGCAAGGAGGAGGCTTATACTTAACAGCAGGGAGAGGCAGCTGAAGTTCCTGAGACACATAATGTGGAAGGAGGGCCAAAAGAATCTGATACTCACGGGTCGAATAGATGAAAAGAGAGACAACGAAAAACAAAGCATGAAATATCTAGCCGCCTTAAGCAAGTAGATGACAGAACCTGGTCTGGGAGAGGTGACAGAGGGAAGGGACTTGAGAGCTACAAGGGATAGAGGTAGCTGGAGAGCCATGATCGCCAACGTCCTGAAAGGACACAGCACATAGAAAGAAAGAAGAAACTACTGATATTTTACAGATAAACATTTGTTTTATGAAACCCCATGATAGGAAATTTAGGTGGGGAAGGTAACAAAGATATGTTCTTGTGTATTTATTATTAATAGGGCTCTGAAAGTGAATGAAAACAAAATTAGAAAAAATATAAAAATTATAAAGTTATAAATAAAATTAGAAATGTAAACACATCTAATACATATTAAATTTGATGAATGGAAATAAAAGTTTTTTTTTTTTTTGTTTTTTTTAATTGTCCGATTTCGCTGAAATTAATAATTCCGGGATATCCTCTATTTTCTGTAACTTGCTTCTATACTGCCAATTTCTTGCGAATGAGAGTGGAATGGATTTCCGTTGCGTTCTCTTTTGTTTCGAATTCAGAATCTTCCTTCTACTAGACTGGATTCTACTCAAGGCTAGAGAGAGCAGGCTGACCTATTAAGTGTTTGTAACAAAGTTATTCCGAATTTGAGCCTTGCCCCATAGATTTTAATATCCAGACATTACCTTAACCTCTCCACCAATTGTTACTGGCGTGAACAGACAATGAAACATAATAACATGAAGCTAGATTTTATCGGTGAACAGCCACCATAGATCAGGAGAACAAAAGATACCTAGTATATATTTATTCGTCCTCCCTATTAAAGGAGGAGGTGACGCAAGGTCGATTTTTAGGTGCGTAGCCCATACACATATGGACCAAAAAGAAAGAGCCCCTCACGCTTTTATTGTTGTAACCTAGGGAAGGTTACTGAATAGAATAATCAAACAAAGGTTGGTATGAACGATAATACTTAGGACAAGAACAACATATATAAGATTCGCCAGTGGCGCGTAAAATAAGTAGTCAATTGCTAGAAGTGAGTCAAGTGAATTCCACAATGATTCTCCAACTCTAGGATATCTACCAACCGGCCCACTCAGTCAGATGTGGAACCAGGCCGAATTTAATGTGGTGTATCCGAGCCCGTAGGCTCGGCCAAATATTCCCCGTAGACACCGTATAGAACAGGGCCGGGTAGCTGTTTCCCGAGACGAGACTCTGCCCTTCGACATAGCCTCATCTGGGGATCCTCTCAGCCCGGAGGCAGAGAATTTGACCAGCACAACTGAAGACGAATCTCCAACTGCAGGTATCTACCAACCGCCCCATGCAGTCAGATGTGTCATAAGGCCGAATTTAATGTGGTGTATCCGAGCCCGTAGGTTCGGCCAAATATTCCCCATAGACCCCATATAGGACGGGGCCGGGTAGCTGTATCCCGAGACGAGACTCTGTCCTTCGACATAGACTCATCTGGGGATCCTCTCTGTCCGGGGGCAGAGAGATTGACCAGCACAACTGAAGACGAATCTCCAACTCTAGACCAACATACAGTATTTACTACTGTATTTATGTGAATGGTGGCATACCCATTATCGTGCGTAGGTTTGCTACAACAATTGTATTGACACAACTTCTCTTACTGCAATGAGGGAGGTACTGTTACAGGGCTGGAAACCCGGGGAGTGGATACCTTCTCCCATCTAAAAAGCCGAGAATCGTTTTCGGCAACAGCTCTAGTAGGTATATTTATCCGGCTTTGTAACACAAGATTGTTTTAACACATAGGTATGCATATGGGTTAAAAACAATTTCTTTGTTGCATATTCCTTGCGCTCATAGTTAGGCT